TCGCCCAAGGTTTCTATAGTGAAGAAGAGAGAAAACAAAAAAAAATTGCCGTTTGAGAAGAATGTAAAGAAAATCTAAGAGAGAAGTTGATAACTAATTTAACAAAGCGGGACCAAACTTCTTTTTACCATATTTGAGATTCCGGAGCTCGGGCTAGTGATGAGAGTCTGACCCAAATTTTTGGCATGCGTGGCAATACTACTAATTATTTAGGAGAAGTTATCGAAACACCAATTACTTCTTCACTCTGAGAAGGATTGTCACCTTTTGAATTTTTTATTTCGGTTTATGGGGCAGTGAAAGGGATGATTGATATTGCTTTGAAAACTGCCGAAGCGGGTTATTTAACTCGACGTTTAGTGGAATCAACCCAAAACTTAATGATTACTTCTCCTGACTGTGGAACAAATGTTGGCACACTCTTAGTAGAAGGCGATGTGCCTCTCGGCAAAAGGGTTTATGGTCGTTATTTGGCTCAAGATATCTCGGATAAAAAAGGAGAGATTATTTTAACTCGTAATACTCTTTTATTAGAAAAGGAAATAAATGTTATTCAAGCCAATAAAATTACTATGGCTTACGTTTTTTCTCCGCTGACTTGCCAATTAGTAAATGGTATTTGTCAAAAGTGTTATGGTTTGGATTTAAGCAAGCCAGGTGAGATAATTGAAATGGGGGCAGCGGCCGGAGTAATTGCGGCTCAATCACTCGGAGAACCAGGAACTCAGTTGACAATGCGAACTTTCCACACTGGAGGAATAACTGGTGATGAAGACATTACCCAAGGTTTACCAAAAGTCAAGCAAATATTTGATAATATTAAGCCAGAAAAAAATGAGAAGGCAACTTTGGCAAAAATTACTGGAAAGATAGTCAGTATTGAAGAAAAAATAATTAAGCAAAAAAGTGCCGAAGGAGAGGAAAAAATTTATCCTCTTAATAAGAAATTAAAAGTGAGGGTCAACCCGGGAGACCTAGTAAAAAAAGGGGAAAGACTAACGGGTGGAAAGATAGATTTAGAAGAATATTTAGAAATTATGGGACGGGATAAGTGCCAAGATTACATTAAAGAAGAAGTGAGAAAGGTATACGACAATCAAGGAATAGACATTAATGAAAAGCACATTGAAATATTTGCGCGGCAGATGCTTTCCAAAGTGGAAATAACTGACAGCGGAGATAGTGATTATTTGGTAGGCGAGTTAGTAAATTATCAGAAATTAGAAAAAAATAACCAAGAATTATCCGCCAAACAAAAGCATCCCGCTTCCTTTAAAAATATCATTTGTAGTCTGAAGGATTTAGCTTCTCATCCCGATTCTTTCTTGGCCGGAATTTCTTTCCAAAATACTTTAAAAAGTTTGGTTAACTATTCCTTATATCAACCTGTTGATTATTTACAGGGATGTAAAGAAAATTTAATTGCCGGACAGTTAGTGCCAGTGGGGCCAGGCTTTAAGGAACGAGAAAAGTTTCAACGAAAAAGCCCTCGCAAAGTATAGAAAACAATTTTTACTATTTGTTCTCCAAAGTTGGTGGGTTTACCTTATGAATTGAGATTTGGGGATGTTAATTATTTATTTTGCCTATAAATTATAATATATGAAAGTTTGCCAAACTTCCTCTATGTTATTAAAAATTAAAAGAGTATGAAAGA